CTAGAAAATAACCGAGAGATAAACATACAGGGGAGAGTAAATAAAGAAAGAAAATCGAATTACATAGAAAGAGATATAGAGAGAATAAGAAAAATAGAGATGATGAGAAAGAAAGCGAGAATGCGAAATATCCAAGAGAATGTCTTAGTTAATAATTAAGTGAAGTAGAAAAAAGAAATAAAAATGGCTATGTGTGACGAATGAGAATTGAAAACAAAGAAGAAAGACTAATATGTGTAACTAGATAAATGTGGGGAACAGAGTAATTCTTATTTAAGAGGTAGGGACCAGTAAAGTAAAAAATGAAAAGATGGTTGATCAGAAGTCGAAGATAAGAACGGAAAAGGAACAATAAAAGAAACGAGAAAGAATTGCAGGCGATAAAATTATTTGAGAGGAAACAAAATGGATGATTTGTTCAGGCAAGCTGTAAGGTAGAAAAAGAAAAATGAAGAAGCAAAAATGAAACAGTAAAATGAAAAGAAAAGAAAAAAAGAAAGAAAGAAAGAAAGAATGGATGGATGGAAGGAAGGAAAAGAAGGAAGGAGGGAGGAAGGTATGAATGCATTCAAGTGAATGACGATATCACATGTACGTCAACATGAATTGTCAAAGATATTTGGATAAAATTATTATTATAATAAAAGGAAAGAATATGAGAAATAAACAAAGATAGATGAAGAGAGAGAGGGGGAAAGAAGGAAGGAAGGAAGTGCGAAATAAAAAGAAAGAAAAAAAGAAAGAAAGAAAGAAAGAAAGAAAGAAAGAAAGAAAGAAAGAAAGATATTCAAGTGATCCAGAAGACTATAACATATGAAGGTTAGCATGAATTACCAAAGACTTTTGGACAGAATGATTATTATAATGAAAAGAAAGAAAGAAAGAAAGAAAGAAAGAAAGAAAGAAAGAAAGAAAGAAATTCAAGTGATACAGAAGACTATAACATATGAAGGTTAGCATGAATTACCAAAGACTTTCGGACAGAATGATTATTATAATGAAAAGAAAGAAAGAAAGAAAGAAAGAAAGAAAGAAAGAAGGAAAGAAGGAAAGAAAGATATTCAAGTGATACAGAAGACTATAACATATGAAGGTTAGCATGAATTACCAAAGAATTTTGGACAGAATGATTATTATAATGAAAAGAAAGAAAGAAAGAAAGAAAGAAAGAAAGAAAGAAAGAAAGAAAGAAAGAAAGATATTCAAGTGATACAGAAGACTATAACATATGAAGGTTAGCATGAATTACCAAAGACTTTTGGACAGAATGATTATTATAATGAAAAGAAAGAAAGAAAGAAAGAAAGAAAGAAAGAAAGAAAGAAAGATATTCAAGTGATACAGAAGACTATAACATATGAAGTTTACAATAAATTACCAAAGAATTTTGGACAGAATGATTATTATAATAAAAAGAAAGAAAGAAAGAAAGAAAGAAAGAAAGATAGAAAGAAAGAAAGAAAGAAAGAAAGAAATTCAAGTGACACAGAAGACTATAACATATGAAGGTTAGCATGAATTACCAAAGACTTTTGGTCAGAATGATTATTGTAATGAAAAGATAAAAAGAAAGACTAAGAAAGAAAGAAAGAAAGAGAGAGAAACAAAGGAAGAAAGAAAGAAAGAAAGAAAGAAACAAACAAACAAGTGATGCAAGTGATAGAGAAGACTATATGAAAACTAGTATGAATTTCCAAAGACGTTTAGACAGAATGATTAACATAATGAAAGGAAAGAATATGCGACAAATAGAAAGATGGATGGAAAGTGACAGAGACAAAGAGAGCTAGAAAAAGAAAGAAAGACAGACAGAAAGAAAGAAAGGATGAAAGAAAGAAAGAAAGAAAGAAAGACAGAAAGAAAGAAAGAAAGAAAGAAAGAAAGAATGTAGACATTCAAGTTATGCTTAAAACTATAGCATACGAACGTTAGCAGGTACAGGATGATAGAAAAGTAACTCCCTATTGTTTCTGTGATAGACTCTCCCATCTAACTATAATTTTAACAATAGGGGAGATACCATGATACATAAAATAGGGAGTTACTTTTGTATTACCAAAGTCATATGAACATAACAATTATAAAGAAAGAAAATCATCTATGCAATAGAGAAAACTATAGCATATAAAAGTTAGCATAAAGTTTCAAATAATCATAATGAAGAGAAAAAAGAAAAAAAAACAAAGACATTAAGTAAAAACAATGCTACAAAAAGGGAGGTAACTATGCATGAAAGAAAAAGTGGCTTGAATATTTTGAATAAGTGTAGGAGAGTCCCTCTAAACTCATTCGAGATATAACTTTATCACAATTAGTTTTGTTTACAAGACAAGGTTATTGCAAGGGGAATAGGCAACCAATAAAGCATGAAGCCAAGCGAGGAAAAGCAAATAGAAAGATAAACAGATGAAATAAAAGAAATAACGGCAAAAGAATAAAAGAGAGAAATTAGGAAAAAGATGGTGAATTTAGTGAAAGAAATGTAAAAATTAAGATATGTGCAATCGAAGAAATACAATGAAAGTTACAAAATTCATATGAAATAAAAGAAGGAAAAAGACATCCAAGTGATACAAAAGACTTTAACATATGAATTGTAGCATTTGGACGGAATTATTATTATAATGAAAAGCTAAGAAATAAATAAATAAATAAATAAATAAATAAAGAAAGAAAGAAAGAAAGAAAGAAAGAAAGATATTCAAGTGATACAGAAGACTATAACATATGAAAGTTAGCATGAATTACCAAAGACTTTTGGACAGAATGATTATTATAATGCAAAGAAAGAAAGAAAGAAAGAAAGAAAGAAAGAAAGAAAGAAAGAAAGAAAGAAAGAAAGAAAGAAACGAAAGAAATTCATGTGATACTGAAGACGATATCATATGAAGGTTAGCATGGATTACGAATGTGTTTCGGACAGAATGATTATTATAATGAAAAGAAAGAAAGAAAGAAAGAAAAAAGAAAGAAAGAAGGAAAGAGAGAAAGAAAGGACGAAGAGATTCAAATCATAGAAAATAAGATAACATCTGAATGTTAGCTTGAATTAACAAAAGCTTTTGCATAGGATTATTATTATTATAAAGAAAGAAAGAAAGAAAGAAAGAAAGAAAGAAAGAAAGAAAGAAAGAAAGAAAGAAAGACATTCAAGTGATACAATAGGCGACATCATATGAATTACGAATGTGTTGTTGACATAATGATTATTATAATGAAAAGAAAGAAAGGAAGGAAGGAAGAAAGAAAGAAAGAAAGAAAGAAAGAAAGAAAGAAAGAAAGAAATTCATGTGATACTGAAGACGATATCATATGAAGGTTAGCATGAATTACGAATGAGTTTTGGACACAATGATTATTATAATGAAAAGAAAGAAAGAAAGAAAGCAAGGAAAGGAATTCAAGGGATACTGAAGACAATATCATATGAAGGTTAGCATGAATTACGAATGTGTTTTGGACAATGATTATTATAATGAAAAGAAAGAAAGAAAGAAAGAAAGAAAGAAAGAAAGAAAGAAAGAAAGAAAGAAAAGGAAAGGAATTCATGGTATACTGAAGACGTTATCATATGAAGGTTAGCATGAATTACGAATGTGTTTTGGACAGAATGATTATTATAATGAAAAGAAATAAATAAATAAATAAATAAATAAATAAATAAAGAAAGAAAGAAAGAAAGAAAGAAAGAAATGACGAAGAGATTCAAGTCATAGAAAATAAGATAACATCTGAACGTTAGCTTGAATTACCAAAAGGTTTTGCATAGGATTATTATTATAAAGAAAAGAAAGAAACAAACAAACAAACAAAAATAAAGAAAGAAAGATATTCAAGTGATGGAGAAGACTGTAATGTATGAAGTTTCTTGGATTATCAAAGATCTTTGGACAGAATGATCATTATAAGGAAAAGAATGAAAGATGGAAAGAAAGAAAGAGGATAATTATAATAATTAATAATCATATATATATATATATATATGCGTGTGTGTGTGTGTGTATGTGTGTGTGTGCGTGTGTGTACGGGTCACGCGTGTGTGCTTGTAAAACAAAGAAAACGAAAATATAATAAATCAACGTATTCAAGCAAATCGTAAAAGACGCAAAAATGGTGAAATTGAGGATGAGGGTGAAAAGAAGAAAAGAAGACAGAAATAGAAAATGAAAAGGAAAACTGGTGAGGGTTAGGGGCCAGTTAAGTTTTTTGTTAGACGTTGGTCACCATAGCAACAAAACCAACCACGCAAACTGTCGACTTTTTTGTTGGGAGCTGAAAATTTTCTGACTTTAAGAGCGAAAACTCTTTTGTGTTGCTAGCCACTTTCTATTATCCTCTATCGTTTATTTATTTATTTTTCTCCTGCAGTCTGTTGTTGGGTTAGGTTGGGACGTGAAGTTCTGCTTAAGAATAAAAACTGAAAGAAACATTATTTGGAGAGAAGTATATGTATTAAGGGGGTCTGCAGAAAAGGAAGAAAGAAACACATAATACTAAAAGAGGAATACGAGAAAGAGAGGGTTGAAGGAAAGGTATATAATGAAAAAAATACGACAGGGTTATTTAAATTGGAGGAAGTAATTATTAGATTGGGAAAATAAAGGCAAGGAATTCTTTTCAATACCATTACAACTTTTCGCTTATTTGAGGCCAATATGCATATTTTTAATTATGATATCTTATTGACATGATTAGTACCGTGGGTCATCGTCACAAAATTTCTATAGTGAAATTTTCAAACATCCTATCTAAAATACGAGTTATAAATATAGAGTTGGCTATTTCCCTTGTAATTTCCTTGTCTTGAATACATAGCTAATCGTGAAAAGGTTATATCCCGAACCAGTGTACATGCACACAATTATACTTAGTCAAAATATTCAAGACAAAAATTATTTTATGCATAATTACATCCCTATTTAGTAACTTGATTTTACTTACTTTTTAGTTTCTTTTTAGTTTCGTTATAGTCTTTGGTAATTCATGCTAAACTTCATATGCTATAGTCTTCTGCATCTCTTTCTTTCTTTCTTTCTTTCTTTCTTTCTTCTTTTCATTATAATAATCATTCTGTCCAAAAGTCTTTGGTAATTCATGCTAACCTTCATATGTTATAGTCTTCTGTATCACTTGAATATCTTTTCTTTCTTTCTTTCTTTTCTTTCTTTCTTTTTTTTTCTTTTCATTATAATAATCATTCTGTCCAAAAGTCTTTGGTAATTCATGCTAACCTTCATATGTTATAGTCTTCTGTATCACTTGAATATCTTTTTTTCTTTTTTTTTTCTTTCTTTTCTTTCTTTTCTTTCTTTCTTTCTTTTCATTATAATAATCATTCTGTCCAAATGTATTTGGTCATTCAGCTAACCTTCATATGTAACAGACTCCTGTATCTCTTGAATATCTTTTCTTCCTTTTCTTTCTTTCTTCTTCTTTCTTTCTTTCTTTTCTTTTCTTTTTTCTTTTTCTTTTTTTTCATTATAATAATCATTCTGTCCAAAAGTCTTTGGTAATTCATGCTAACCTTCATATGTTATAGTCTTCTGCATCGCTTTAATGTCTATTTATGTCTTTCTTTCTTTCTTTCTTTCTTTCTTTCTTTCTTTCTTTTCATTATAAATCTTTTGTAATACATGCAAATGTTCCTATTTTATCGTCTTCATATCACTTGAATTTTTTCCTTCCTTTCATTATAATAATCATTAATGTTCAAATGTTATAATATTTTATATCACTTGATTGTTTTCTTCCTTTCTTTCTTTCTTTCTTTCTTTCTTTCTTTCTTTCTTTTTTTCTTTTCATTGTAATAATCATTCTGTTCAAAAGTCTTTAGTAACTTATGCTAACCTTCATATGTAATAGACTCCTGTATCTCTTTCTTTCTTTCTTTCTTTCTTTCTTTCTTTCTTTTTTTCTTTCTTTCATACATACTTTCTTTCATTTCAGTATAATAACCATTCTGTTTAAATGTCTTCAGAAATTTATGCTAACGTTCATATTGTCTTTTATATAACATAGATATCTTTCGTTCTTTCTTTTTCGTTTTTTCCTTGCTTTTCATTATAATATCAGTGTAATTTTCATACATTTCATAAAACTAATTTTAAATATTAAAGATATAATATAATTCTTCTTCTTCTTATATATTCTTCTGAATATTAATTGTGATTTTCATAAATAGAAAACGTTTTTAATTAAAAAAAAATAATTAAAAACCTATTATTAAAAAATGATTTTGTAAATTTCAAAAATTCAAATAGGTTTAATTTTATTCTCAGTGTGACATATTAAGTTGATTTTTTATCAGTTTGACTTATCTAGAAATGATTTTTCGCGTCCTGAGCAATAAACAAAGAAGTTGCGGAGAATTTTACATACATTTCTAAGATTAAATTCAAAAGAAAAACTTATCGTAACGGACGCGTTTCATCCTCTGACAGATTTTATCAAGACAAATGTAATGATTTTGCAACAAGTAATACGCAATGTTGTTAGTTTTCTCATAATGTTTAAATTTTAGAACGCTCATAAATATACTCAAAAGTCAAGTTACCTGAAAGTCAAGGTAAATTATGAAGGAGTTTTTTGATGTAATTTAATACTTAATGGACAAAGGTGAGTAAATGTTGTTATAGTTGCTTCTGCTATATTTTTTTATAATGTAATTATTATTTTAGTTTAAGATTATATTATGTATTATATATTTAAAATAATATAAGGTTATGAATTGAACCATTTATTTTTTATGTGTTTTTTTTTTTAAATATATGCATGTTGTCTTGGGAAAGAAGTATTTCTTTTAAGGAAGGAGATATTTGAAAAATCCAAGGCTTAGATTTATATATTGGTAAGATACAATAGCGGCAATCACAAGAATTTTAAAATTAAGTTATTTTCTTTTTAGTGTGAGATTTTTGATCGAAATTTTGTTTTAACTTATTTCTATGCATACATTAATGCATTTGATAAAGTATCATGTACAAAACCATTTTAGTGTTCATAGATATGTTTTTAATTTCTGCAAGTTTGTATTATAATTCATACAGTTTTACGGTAAAATCAGAATTTCTTTGCAGTTTTAATTGACAGAGATATTCAGAAAGCCATTTACCTGATAATCATAGTTAAATCTATAAAGCGATATAAGTAAAAATGTAAATTATACATAAGAGGATATAGGATACAAAATTATAAAGTGCATGTATGTTTATTCGAGAGCCAAACTCACGAATATATATATATATATATATATATATATATATATATATATAGATAGATAGATAGATAGATAGATAGATATAGATATAGATTGACTAATTGATTTATTGTTTGATATCTTTTACGTTTTATAAATCTTTTGCATGTTATTTAAAGCAATAATTTTGATTGAAAGAATGTTTGGGAGATAATGATTTAATGATATATCAATATAAAGAATTCTATCGAAATCGGAACTCGCCTCCCAGGGTTCCAATTCCATTACAAATATATCATATGACCAATAGTTAAAGCTGGCTTTGAGACAGTGAAGGCTGCAGGTTTTGGCGAAGGTTACCCTTCTTTGAAACTTGTGAACTGGCGCCACAGAATCACAAACAAATAAGTATTTTAAATAACAGGAACCATTTGAAACATTCAACAGCAATAATAATTAAAATAGATAGTAATGAAGAGAAAATGTTAACTTAATCAAGATGTTAACACACCACACTACGTCAAATAAAAAGTTATCAAGGACACATGGCACAGTGGATAAAGGCGTTGGGTTAGATCCAGTGACAGGACCCAAAGAGTGTGAGTTCAATACCCAGTTAAGGCAGTGGAGAACTTTCAGAGGGAAATTAGCAGGAGATAGCTAATAACTGACATCCATCAAACATGGCACGTGGAACTAGAACAGTCTACCCCAGTGAGCGAAATAAAGGGTTCAGTTCGAAATTCCAACCACCTGAAGGCCGGAGCGTACAACGGCCGAAATGTTGTGATAAATATGGCGACAAAGATGAGGACAATAGTCCGAATAATGTAAAAGGTTTCTTAAATAAAAATCTCTGAAAAGAAATAACAAAAGTTTGAAAATAATGTTAAATTTGAAACAGTAGACAAATTAAAAGTAGTAATTGTTGAAATTAAAAGTATTAATTGTTGAAAGTGTGATAGCGATAGAATATAATA